GAGCTGTGCTTGCTAGTGGGTGCCACTGGCAGGACAAATAGGTGGAACACAAAGGATTGTTGTCACACTAAAAAAAAAAAGTGTGTTCGTTCATTCATTCATTCATTCATTCACTCACTTTGTTTCTGCTAATCTTTTCTCTGTGTAATTTTCAAGGGCAGCTGTCTGTAGTATGTATGTCACTATTCTTTTCTTTTCTTTTTTTTTTTTTTTTGAACCGGGGATTGAACTCAGGCCTTTGTGCTTGCCAGGGAAGCGCTTATTCCACTGAGCCATCTCCCCAGCCCGTCTTTTCTATTTTTTGAGACAGTCTCAAAACCTTGGGCTCAAGTAATCCTCTTGCTTTAGTTTCCTTCGTAATGCATGATCAACCATGCCCAGCTTCTTGTAATGTTTCAAGTCATCACTGCATTAAAGGCTCCTGCTTACTAATTCTCCATCAAGACCTATGTCTATAACTAGAAGCAAGCTGATATTATCTTCTCTAGTTGTTTCCCAAGTTATATTTAAGCAGATCCCAATCTCCAATATTCCTCATGTTCAAAAGCTACTAGGTACCCATTACTTACCTGCTTGAGATACAGAAAAAAACTTGAATACTGTCCAGCTTCAGGAAGATATGAAAGGAACACGGTGATACAGATAAGTAAGACCGTACAATCTTTCCCAACTTTCTTTAATGACTGGAAATAAGCAGAAACGAAAAACATAAAAAAGCCAGCAGACAAAAGTATCACCAATGTGATACTGGTTTCATTATTTTGATTAAGATGGATAATAGCAGTTGAATGGCTTACAAAAGGAAATAAATTTTAACATTAAATTCATCACCATTTCTGTGAAGTTACAAGTTTTCGTTTCAGAAATATGCACTTAAGTATTAAAACTTTTTTTAAGAACATGTGGTCATCTTTGTTAGCAAATGTGGCTTATATGCTTATAGATCTTCAACATCCTATAAACAAATCCTGAAAATGTATTTTCATAGAATCCTTTTAAGAAAGTAATTTCTCTTGATTCATAATACGGCTTTAAAGTCATATCCAGTTTTGCCTGGTTTTTATGTTTCATAAAAAGTTTACACACAAATTCACTCTGTTCTTCAAAATGTTGCTATTTAATTTGCCTTACAGTACTCAATTCATACTCTGGTAAACCTGGCAGACAATGAAGCATGTTCCACACTAGCAAGAATACTTTACATGTCACTGTTTTTTTTTTTGTTTTTTTTTTAAAGAATTCTTATTTACATACAGTTAGCGAACAAAAACTAAAGGAACACAATGATTGAGAAGGGCTGCAGAGCTTCTAGGTCATCATTCTACAACATTCACATAATAGCAAAAGGAACTAATGCCTTTTCAGATCTTGCTACACACCAGACAACAGTTAAGCTTCACCTCACAGAGAAGTTGCTACCTATAACTTGGGCCTTACATGATAAAAAAGTGGGAAGCCTCACCAACTGGTTCTGTAGGTCTACTCCCGCTTCCCTCCCCAACTCCTCTCTTATTCTCAGTTAGCAAGGCACAAAAAACAGGCAACGTCCCCAGATCATGCCCTTAGGGCACATTTGAAATATTTTTCTGGGGGCTGGGGAGATAAGCTCAGTAGAATAAGCGCTTGCCTGGCAAGTACAAGGTCCTGAGTTCAATCCTCGGTACCACAAAATAAATAAAATAAAATAAAAACTATTTAAAAAAAAAAAGAAATATTTTTCTGATGAGTTATTATTATTATAGGTATTTTCCTCTCAAGAGGTGAACTTAGGAGACAAAAGCAAAACTGAAGTCTCTGGTTCTTTTTTTCCCCTGTGCTTATTTCAAGAACAATGTCAAGCTATATCAGAGGCAAGAGGGAAGGCTGATGGCTGCACTTTTGTGAGCACTTTTCTTGGTTATTAGTGTGACACGCTCCCCATTGTCCCTTCCAAAAAGAGACTGTAGAAAACAAAACAAAAATCTGTTTAATCTATACAATGTAATTTCAGAGCCTCCAGCTATGTGGATGTACACTAATAACTCAGAAAACTACTAATTAGACCAAATATATTTATCCTTTTTGAATTTAAATGAATTTACCTCAAATGCTCACCTGCAATATTTTATTTTTTAAAAAAGGATGACAACAACCAGAGAACCCCCAACTAGGACATTTTACTTTCCCTCATTTCCCTATGATGTGCTAGGCTTATGTACCAATTCAGTACTTTTCCTAGTATACAGATTATCCCAGCTGCTTACTTGTGATTAACGTTTTCCTACTTTTACTGGAAAGAAAATGGGCCAACAGCTGGCACCCGTGAGGCTACAGGTACATTCTTTTATTGTCATAGAAAGATATTTACAAAGTCAATATTTTCACTTACCGCAAAAGGGTCTGCTTGTTTCCAAGAAATCTGAGCTCCCCAGGAAACTGGTCTTATCTTCTCTGGCAGAGATTCTGGAACAGCCACCAAGATGAAGCAGATGTCTAGAAAAGCCACCACTGTGGCCACCAATACCACGAGGCCGTCTCCATAACTGGCAGAAAGGTACGCTCCAATGGCTGGGCTGCTGACCAGACTAGCTGCAAAGGTGGCTGAGACCTGAGGGAAAGCACACTGTCACTCAGGGTCCCACAGATCAGTATCTGTGGAGAAAGCATATTTTTTTTTTTTCCAGGTTTCCACTGCCACAGGCACACACCTGTGGAAAAAATCCCCTACCCAGGGTCTGTAGTAACATCCCTCCCTAATTTTAAACAAGACAAAATGTGTTCACATAAATTTTAAAGAAGAAAGAGATTAAAGTAATTCTGTTTTAGAGTTTGTTCATAAACTTTAAACTGGAGATATTATGGAGATCTTTAGCATAAAAATTAACAAGAGTAGGGCCAGTGAGATAGCTCAGCAGACTAAGCGCCTGCTTAGTCAAGCACAGGGACTGGGGTTTGATCCCTGGCACCACATACATTTAAATAAATAATAAATAAAAATTAAAAAAATACTAGAACTGTGAAAACTTTCATTAAAATTGTGAAAATTTTCTTCAGAGATAAAATATTCTCTTAGGTCTTCTTTAATTGGGAAATGGAAATGTACTGACAAGGGTATAGAGACAATTTCTGCAGAGCTGATGATAAAAACTAGAAATTTCTCAAGGACCCTGAATCTTCCAAAAACACTGTACTGTTTCACCATTTTATAATTTGGCAAGCATTTTACTATCTTAGAAGGGGCTGGGGAAGAGACCCTAATACTCTTATAAAGAGAAAAAAAGCTGTAACTTTTTTAAAAAATGAAACAATTTGCTGAAGGACAGGTCGAAGCTTTCTTATTAAGAGGGCTGTGAATTCTATAACCCTGTCACCTCATGGCTGCTGTCAAACAGACCACAGAGCCAGTGGACAGCACACGTAACCTGAAGCCACACCATCAAGCCTCTTCACCTAACACGTCAACACGCTACATTGCAGAATGCAATGTGACTACTCAAAAGCTTAGTGGATAATCTCCAAATTATAAACAGATTAAGTAGCAAAAGCACATCTGTAAGTTAAACTTTTTTTAAGAGATACTTACAGAAAAACTAAAGCATTATCTATGATTATTATTCTAATTCGTGGTAAATTATTGACATTTTCCCCTCATCTATCATCCCATGAATGATTATAAAGATACAATGTATCAGCTGGGCACAGTGGCACATACCTGTAATCCCAGCACTCTGAGGAACTACAAAGCAGGAAGATCACAAGTTTCAGCCCAGCCTACGAAACGTAATGAGATCCTGACTCCAAAACCGCCCCTACCAGGTGTGTTGGTACACATCTGTAATCCCAGCACTTGGGAGGCAGGACAATCACTGAATTTGAAGTCAGCCTAGACTACACAGTTAAGTCCCTGTCTCCAACAAAGCAAAACACAGAGGTGGGGGACCCTGGGGATATGGGTCAATGAAAAGGCACTGAATTCATACCCAGTAAAGGAGAATGAGGGAGAGGGGACACCCGGGTGTGTGTGTGTGTGTTTGTGTATATGTGACTCTTGGCCCTGGGTTCAATCCTCAGTACTGCCAGAAATAAAAGAATGAATGTCTGAGATTAGTATTACACTAAAATTATAAAAACCAAATATATTTTGAGAGAGAGAGAGAGAGACAGAGACAGACAGGGAGGGAGCGAGGGAGGAACAGAATGTAGAGAATTCCTAGTTGGGAAACAAAAATTCCTTCATTATTTATCTAGTAGCTATTATCCAGATGTAAAAGATAACACAATTTCTGACCTTTAAATTTTCCTACTTTATTTAAGGTCAAAGCAACCATAACAGCATTGTAAGTTGCAATAACATGCAAATGGATAAGAGAGCAGTACTGCATTCTCCAGTGCTGTGGAGCACTGGGGTAGCTACGTAAGGGTGAAGGGAGCAATGTGCAGTGTCCTCAGGTACTCTAAGGTCTGTGACTGATTTCACAAAATTACGCAAAATAGTATATTTTTTTCTTAAAACTTATGGGCTTATGTAATTTTTTAAAAAATCTAAGTCCCTCTTTCATTTAACATTCAATAGGACTCTGGAAAATAAAAGGATGACCTCACCACAACAATTTCCCAGCAAGTATTAGCTTAGTTACTAATGGGACTATTCATTGCTACAGTCCTAACAGAATTAGCACTTTCTTAGTTTACAAGAAGAGTTTCAGGAAGGAATGCACATATTTTATATGTTGTTCTTTAATGGGTCTCAAAATGTCCTTTACAACTTGACCAACAAATCATGGAAGTAATACGGGATGAATGCCAAAGGCCCAGGTCCTGGCCCTGATTCACAGCCTATTCACTACACTGGCTGCAGCCTGGCTGTGGTTGCTGGCACAGTTCCATCTCAGCTAAGACATTTGCATGTGGACGGGTCTCAGCCCTCTATGAGTGGGCAATAATCCTGCTTGTGCTTTTATGATGAAGAGGTGAGCTAAAGAGTAATTAAGTCATAGTCACTTCTGGTGACTCAGAAATCTTTCCTAAAGCATTTCTCAGCACAGCAGCTTTGTGAATGCTTTTGATGAAAGCAAGGAACAAACACCTAATAAAAATTTCACCGAAGAATCCTACCAGTATAACCTCCTAAGGCAATATATGTTTAAACTGACTCAAACATTATGCAGTTTATCTATGCATCCAAATAGTGCATGGTACTTCATATTAATATATACAACTTTTGTATTTTTATGTTGTTAGAAAATTGTGACCATCCCTTATGGCCGACAGAGTATCTTGCTTTCGCTGAACCCTTCCTTGAAGCCTTCCCAATAGCTTCTCCCTTTGTCCTACACAGTACTCTGCAGATGTCCTCATATTAAGATAGGGCATAGCAGACATTCATGGGAGAAGAGAAGGAAGCATAACTAAAAAGCAAGTAGGAGCCAAAAGGGAAGTGGGGTTGAGTTTTCAAACTACTATTGTTGAAAATCAACAAAGTGAAAATTGTACTATGTCCACCACTATGATTCATGAAGTTATTCATTTGGTCAACACTGAATGATACTTGATCCCATTCCAGGAAATTGGAACTTAAAAAGCATGACCAAGGTAAGGCAAGAAACTGTCTGGAATTCTCTCACTCATCACTCTCCAGTCTACCACCCTCCACAATTATGCCAGATCATCTTTCTTCTTTCACATTCTTACTGTGAACATCTGCAAACTCAGAGGAATTAGAGAGAAAGGACAACACACACTCCTATGTAGGAGGTGGCCTGGGCATGGAACATGTGCCCACATGTGCTCACCCAACATATACATGCTATCTTTTCCTCAAACCACTTGAAAATAACTATAAAATAATCTAATACTATATTTTCAGAATGCCCTATATCTTGGGTTATTTAATAACTAATTAATGAAAGGTCTGTTTTCTACAGTACTGTACTAAGTCCTAAGTGAGTTACTGAACCACACCAGCAATACAGTTACAACAGACTGCTGAGGTTCTAACCTTACCAGTTCTATCTATAATCTTATTTTAAATCTTACTTTTTGGTAATTAATAGAATGTTAACTGTTTCTCCAGTTTAAAAATTAGCAGACTTTCTTACCCATCCATAAGCAGTGCTTCGTTCATGCTCCTGAGTAATATCAGCTACATAGGCAAATATCACAGAGAATGTAACTGAGAAGACTCCAGATACACAAATCATCGCAAAATACCACCTACAACAAAGATTTTGATTAGTCAAGAGAGAGGCACTGTATGTTCACTTGTATGACCAGACCCAAATACAACATGTAAAGACTACAAAACAAGAAGTACACACGTGTACATTAAGTACAGTGTACTTAAAGGTAGAAGAAATTAAAAGTTGGGATAAGGGGTCTACACATTAAAAAAAAAAAAAAAAAAGAATAGAATTGAGGGGCCGGCCAAAAGCGCCTGCAAGCAGGTGTAGGGGCCAGGGGTTCAATCCCTGAGCCTGCTGCGCCGGCCCCTGGCCCCAGGGCACACTGAGATGGCA